GGGGAATGAAGGGAAGGGAGGGGTATGGGAATAGGAAAATTGGTAGAATGAATCAGGCATAACTTTCCTCTGTTCATATATGAATACATGACCAGCATAACTCCACATCTTGTACAACCATAAGAATGGCTCGTTATACTCCACATATGTATGATATGTTAAAATACACTCCACTGTCATGTATATCTAAAAAGAACACATTAAAAAAGAGAAAAATAAAAGCAGCAGGGTGGAGGAGGTCTTGAAGAAGGAGTAGAGCAGAGGAAACCAATGAACAAGTCAACGGTATCATGTGAAAGGAGAAATGACACTTAATTATCCTTCCCATTTCTCTTCTATTATCCTGTTCTACATAAAGCAGAGACAAAATATATAAGATTTCAAATTGACAAATCTAAATTAGTCTGGAAGAGCAAATCTGAGTCAAACAGGAACATCCTTTTAAGAGACTGATACATATGTGTCACTGGCTATATATTAAAGAAGTTATTTTAGGGCCAAGCCCTGCCATGAACCTGGAAACTAATCTCCTGTGTCTCAAGGATTTCCTGCCATTGGCCCAGAGTCCAGTGCCCCACACCTGYCCTGAAAGATGCTGCTTCTATTCCTTACTTCAAAATAAATCTTTTCTTCTTTCCTTAATCTCCTGTTAAACATTTATCAACTAAAATGACTGGTATGGCACTAAAGTTGACTAATAATTTGCTTAAGCATAAGAGAGAAGAGGTTTATTAATCTGTAAGCATCTGTAATCAGGGATGTGTTTCGGGGGAATGGACGACTTAATATGGGAGGTTCCTAGTGTTCGTTRCCCTTTTTAAGGACCCTGATAACCAACCAACCAACCAACCTTCAAACAGAGGAATAAAGTAATGCAGTAATAGAAATAGAAGTTTCTAAAGATACATAGAAGGCTAAGTAGATTTTCCTAGACAAGGAGGAAGGATATGAACAAGCTAAGTCTAAAGACACAGAATGAGCAGAATGGGTTAGTTTGCAGCCAAGAGTTCTGAGCCCTTTCAGTCAGAAAGCAAAACTTTGTTAGCTCATGACAAAGAATTCAAACCTAGTTTCTTATCTCATACAAAAGTGTAGATACAGCATCAAGGACACTTTGAGTTTAAGAAAGACAAAAAATTACAGTCAATAGTAGAAGTATTACTATGAATTTGCTCATAATTTTTCCTGTTTTAGAATACGAGACTAATTTTGAAACATTCCTTGAAATATTTTATTAACTGATTCAGTTACTAAAATTGAAATAAACAAATTTACTGAGTTTAGGCATTCCATATTAGGAGTCTAAGTTTTTCTTGGCTCCTATCTCTTTACAGGTTGTTGAAATATTACAAATGAACCACAAGAGTTAATGACCTTTGTTAGTTTCAATAGCTGTATCAAAATAGCCACACATTATCCTGTGAAAAATGTCAGTGGAGAACTTGCCAACTGCCAAACCATTCTGAATGAAAGAGGGGACAGAATCAGAAAGAAATGAACTCAAGCTATCAGAATGTGTGGATAGCATGTTCATATTTTAAGGTATGTTTGAGAGAGGAAAGGAAATCACTGGAAATCTTTTTTGTCACCAGAGCAATTATGACTTGAATGTTCTTTTGTTTTGGTTTCTGCCAATGTTTTCAATAGGCGATCAACACAACTCAAGATCCCTGTCCTGATAATTCCTGGGTGGATAAACTTCCTACAGTATACCACCGCATAGTGTAAGGAGAGGTTACTTCTTTATTATTCTGTCTCATATCTGGTTAAAGCAGGGTAGCCAGAGTGAAGAGAGATTCCTCTGAGTTCAAGAAGGAGATAACACAAGCTTTGATTTCTAGTTCCTTGGAGTGAGGTTTTCTTTGTCCCCTGATGGATTTTAGGTTCAAAGGCCCATGAGCTCAGCTGCTTCAGGGAGTATTGCCATTGCAGGTGACAAAGTCCACATGATAAGCAGGTGACAAAGTCCACCTCATGTTTCAAGACTATGCACCAAAAGTTAAAACAGGATAGTGTAATGGTGCAATGTATCAACTGTATTCTCAGTAATGATGATCAAGGTAGGGCAATACACTTCTCTAGTACAGCAGTGCCCAGGATGCCCATCCCATACTCAGGTGTTAGACAGTTTTAAAATACCAAGATATTGTTGTCAATTATAATGTGATATTTTGTGTCTATGTGAGTCCTACCCTCACTGTGTTGATCACAAGGACTCAGAGAATTAGGTTCCACATAAAACTGTTTTATTTTAGGTGTAAGGTTTTATGAGATTTATGTTTGCTTGTTTTTTTCTTAATTTTTGGACTGACAAAAACATGAAAATATATAACAATATACAGCCTGCGTTTTACAATTCATGGCTGCTTCGAACTTTGTGTGGTGACACCTTTTTTTTTTGGCCTCAAGAATATAAAGCCTCTGGGTACACTGGCTTCTGCATGTAATTCCAGTGGCTTGAAAAGGCTGAGGCAGGAGGATCACAAGTTCAAAGCCAGCCTCAGCAATGTAGCAAGGCCCTAAGCAAATCAGCAAAACCCTGTCTCAAAATAAAAAATAAAATGTGGCTTAGTGGTTTGGTGCCCCTGGGTTCAATCCCTTTTACCAAAAGAAAAAAACATACACACATATGTACATACACACATATCATATATATATGATATGTGTGTATGTACATATATATTTGTTTATATATGTATATATAAATAGATGTGTGTGTGTGTGTGTGTGTGTTTGTGTGTGAGATGCTGGGCATCAAACTCAGGGCCTTGTTCATGCTAGGCAAGCATTCTATCCCCAAGCTCCATCCCCAGTCTAAAGCTTTGCTTTTAATTGTATATATACTATCTTCATAGTGAAAATAAGCAGAGAAATAAACAGTTAAAAAATTAAATGAATAAAAGAATGAACAAATAAGCAAGCTGTAAAAGAAATAAATATGTTGCTATTTTTGCCACAGTATGAAATCTTCCAATAAACAATTTTTCAAATATTTTCAAATGTTTGTTTTTTTGTTTTTATTTTTGTTTTTCATGAATCATCTTCCCCCACTTAAGGGGATATTTGTTAAAGAAATAATATTTTTAATTGTCTTATAACTAAGCAGGCCTGGTTTACGTCTTATTTGTTTTGGGGACATGAAAACCATTTCTCCATGAAAACCATTTCTCACATGGCTCAGGGATTTCCAGTGTGAGAAAAAAAATCCTTAATGATTTTTTTGTTTTGGTTTGTTTTTTTCCTCTACCTTAAGGAGATCAATTATATTGATTCCTTAATTAAGAAGTAYTAAAATTGAATAAGAATTTGATTTTAGGCTTAGAAGGGAATCATTTTTGCCTAAATTTCCTGTTTCATGTTATTACCGTTTATATTAAGTTAAAGGGATTATTGCAAAATAATAATCACCTCTCCCCCAAAATCACTGGCAATCTCTGCTTTGTGGAAACAAGGCCCAATTCTGAGAAATCAGCATGACTCCAGTGCTTAATATGAAACRTTTTCTCCTTATAAAAAGGGAATATTTTACCTGAAATATCCAGATTATTGGATTAAGTCAGCACTTCCCCTTGACCATGCCATAGTCAAAGAATTCATAAACAAGTCTGTGGGTCTCAAGAGTTGTTTTCAACAAAAATGTACTTAGTACTTTGTCTATCATAGTTCTGTGCTGGATATTATACTGTGTTTTTAAAAGATGCATCAGGCATAGTGATCTGTCCATAAATGGCTCATAATTTAATTGAAGAGTCAACTTTATTTATGTAGACTGTACAATACAATGGAAGCAAAATTCTTCCCATCTTATGGTGTGTAATGACAGCTTATAGCAATAATCCACTCTGACTTTGGCAATTCATGTACTTCCAAAATTAGACAGCAGACTGTGCCTGTCCTGGTGCTCATGCCACTTAATACTGCAGGATACGCCTTTGACTTCTGCCAATCACAGAGCTTGAGATAGATGGGTGATTTCTGCTAAAGACCTTGTGATCTGCATTTTGAAGCTTGCTTTACTTATGATTCCATTTGTGTGTTTGTCAGCAATAGTGCTCTGGCCCGAGATTCATGGTGAATTATCTTTGTTTCCGAAGGGGCTGCAGTCTTGCAGTGATATCTGGAATACTCTATGGGTCTACATTTGTGCCAATCATTTATATTAAGGACCACAGCAAAAGAAATGACAGCATATATGCAGGGGCAAGCCAGTATGGTGAGAATACAATGTTATTTTACTTTATAAGCAAACTCATTGATACCTACTTGTCTTAAGAATATGAAAAGCAATGTGATAGAGTATATGTTGGTATGTATATTTGATCTTACTTTTTCACTTGGTTTTTTTTAACATTTTTTTAGTTGTAGTTGGACACAATACCTTTATTTCATACATTTATTTTTATGTGGTGCTGAGAATCGAACCCGGTGCCTCACATGTGCCAAGCAAGCACTCGACCCCTGAGCCACAACCCAGCCCCTTACTTTTTCACTTGTGAATGGTGATTTAGAAAAGTCCTGAAGACTAAAAGTAATAAAGGACTGAGAGTATTTTCATGTGATCTTTAACATACAAGTAGAATCAGCTGTAGTCAGGCTTCATTTCAACTATGGGGATCTTAGCACATCATTTTTGGCTTTCTGGCAAGATTTGGTGATATTTTCCATTYAGATGATCGCTGGGAAAATATGTATTCTTTTGCTTTTTTTAGAAAAGGCTAAAGTGTGGTACATAATACTTTTAAATCAAGTAAAGGTCAAACTACAGTCTATTGAGTCAGAAGATATTATTTTTTCAAGCACAGGGTGGTACATTGAAAGGCTCAACATAATGCTTCCTGATAATATCTCACTATTTAATGGTAAAATTAATCTCTCAGGGGTAAACTCAACACTGTATGCGATAGCCTTGAACAGGGTCAGGAGGAGAGGAAAGAGGATGTACTCTGGGGTTCTGTAATCATACTGAAACATGCCTTACGCCCATGAAATGATAAGGGAATTAAAACATGAGTGAAATAAAATTCTAGATCATATGGTACAGAAAATTAACATGACCTGGGTTCAGATAAGGGAGAAGTTTGGAGAGCACAAGTCATGAGGGAAAGATTAATGAAGAAGCAGAGATTTGAACTTGACTTGAACAGAGCACACAGACTTTGGGTAGATGCCACCGTTTCCTTCTTCCTTTTTATATTTAGCCTCATATACAGTACTCAGCCGTTTTATTGACTTCTGTCTTTCTTGCTAAGGTATTATACAAATACTTTTTCATATTTGTATTCTTTTCATTTTTAAAGGATGAAAACTAATAAAAATAGGATAACATAGGATAAATTAAAAGAGAAGGGAAAAGCAAGAGGGAGGAAATAAAGGGAACCAGGAATAAGTCTAAAAACTTTCTACTACGCTTACACACTTGCAAGAAATGAGCATAAATTTGGCTCTCAGATTTCTTGTAGCCATGAGGGAAATTAGATCGGTCCTAGGATTCAGTGAACACAATATAAAAAGAACAAATTGTTCAGGAGTAAAGTTGTTCTTGGTACTGGGACATAATAAACAATGCCTCAACAATRTCTTTACACAAATAGAACAACGGGTTCTTAGAGATCTTCCTTACCACAATTCTGCATGTAATCTGATGGGAACACACTTTATTCCACTTTATTAAAAATAATTCTAGGGGGCATTATTTTTATTTTATTTATTTAACAAACACATATGCATCATCCATTGTAAGATCTTTGCAAATACTCTGTTAGCCCTCATAGCAATTGATACCATTGTTATCCTCATTTTACAACTGATAAAATTAAGTCAGASAGACATCAGGTGATTTGCCCAAGTCTCACATTAAGTGCAGAAAGAGATAGTCAGTACTTTTAATTGCTATTTTATGTTGTCTTTTGTGGAGGTCTATTTACAGAAGTATCATTCTTGTATGACCCAGAAGTATAATTTAAGATTAAGAAGAATTAGACAAACTCTCTGTCCTTCAGCATTCATCCACAAGAAAGCCCACTCATCTTTGTCAAAATTTTAGGTGACAGAAACATTGAATCCAAAGTGACTTTGCCAGCCAAAAACCTGTAGTGCATCCATCTGTGTGGCCAGAGTGCCATCTGCTTAACCTGTCAGTAGAATTAGGGTTTCTCAGAGATCAGCACCATCAGGGGTTATTACTCCTTTCCTTTGTGCAGCTCCATTTATAGTAAACAATTAAATAAAACTCTCTTTGAAACAACTTCTGGCATATCTTTCTGTATAGTTGTCATCCACAGTGGAGCTGCTGATCTCAAGATTCATTAATAGACCATATAAAATTTGCACCTCCCAGATGTTTTTATCCATACCTCCTCTACAGTTGAGGTGAAGATTTGCTACAATTGCCAGTCATTAGTAAAATGAGGTATGAATACCTACTCTTAAAAAGGGAGCATTGGGCTGGGGCTATAGCTCAGTAGCAGAGCGCTTGCCTAGCACGTGTGAGGCACTGGGTTCAATCCCTAGCACCACATATAAATGAACAAATAAAATAAAGGTATTCTGTCCACTAACAACTACAAAAAAAAAAATTTAAAGAAATATGTTAACATCATGGTCACATTATGTTCATTGTGTCTTATTTAGCTTTCCAAGATAATAATTTTTAAAAATTTGCTCTTTAGATTTAATTATAGTAACTAATTTACTATTTAATATTTCTAATTATGAATATGTTTCTTAATATTCTATACAAACAYATGTAAAATCTGAGGATGATCAAATATAATTAATGGTTCCTTTACTTAGKTAATTTTGGTGAGTTTGTTTTATTTTCAGGCTAAGTGTACTTGGGGTGATTAAAATGATGTGTAAGAGTTTTATGATGTGTATTTTCAGATTTAGACTATGTTTTTGCACACTTCAGTGGCATCTTTCTTACGAGTACAGTCTACTTTCTGGCATACTGTGTAGCCATGAAAAATAGTCCCAAACTATATCCTGAGGCAGTCTTGCCAGGTAAGAATATTAACTATGGAAAATCTCATTACTCTGTGAAACTATCATCCTCTATTCATTTAGCTTGAATAATTGTTAGAGTTCAAAAAATGTGTATTTAAAATACATATGCTTTCATTCTTAAACCATTAGGCACCGATAGTTAAAATAATAATTTCTCACTTAAGAGTTTACTGGAATTCAATTGGAGATATAGGACCACAAGTAAAAATTTTAATAAAACATTTTTAATAAAATTAGAGGTTTATTTTGCTGAAGTGTATCACCTTCTAGAAAATGGTAGATATTTACTGACTACCCAAAGTATTGTGAGAATTCAGCCAGTATTTTCACTTAAATGCTATGAATTTTTCTCCTTAGCTCTAGCATCATTCTAAATTTCACCTCTTCTTTATGTTTATGGTTCAGAGTAAATGGTTTTGCAGGAAATGATAAGATCCAGTACTTCCCTAGGCCTGTCTCTACTACCCAATTTCTACCTGAACTCCACTTTGGGWACTTTATTTATTGTCAACAAAGAGAAAGCAGTCAAGAGCAGAGAAATAATTTGRTTTCTAAATTGACCCATAAAACACAGTTCAAGAACCCATATTGGTCAACAATGTTGATAGGAATGCATTGTCTGTGCACTTTGATGCTCCTGAGGTGTTGRAAGAGTGAATTTTTCAGGAGCAGAGCACAGCTTGCAAATGAGGGTTGTCTGTGTGTGTTTCAGGGTTCCTGTCAGGAGTGCTTTGGGCCATAGCTACCTGCTGCTGGTTCATAGCTAATCATTCTCTAAGTGCTGTGGTCAGTTTTCCAATAATCACTTCTGTAAGTACAAAAATTGTTTGTCCAAATTTTTGTTTTTCAAATCAAATCTATTTTTCCTGAGCACTCTTAGCAAATCATTAAAGCCTGTCATAGAATTTGATCTCTTTAGGAATAAACTTTCCAGATTCAGAGTCTGTTTATCTACAAYAAGCTCTCTCTACTCTTCATGTCCTTGATTGTTAAGGAACATTTGTAATCTCATTTTAACAGGTTTGCTAACTAATGTTTAATCTTTAATATCCTTGCTATTTTTGTTTGATCATTTTGCCTATTATCTTAGATAAATCATAATTTGCTATTTATAAGATCAATCTTTGTAAAACAGTWTATAGCAAATGGTTGTATGTATATTATCCCACTTAAATCTCCTGATGTCCTTGAAACTGAAAGTATCAGACACTTCTTGAGAATGGTGTTCCACTATTATAAAGGACAAATTTCAGAAAATACTAAGGCAAAGTATTATCCCTGAATGATGCCATTTATCCTAGCATACTTAAGACAATTTGCTTCMTCTGATTTTCTAGGTGTCATTTATGTAAAACATAATTTGATATAAAAATGTTTCCTTAGGCATAATCAGGATAAGTATTAATAGAATGATCCTCATTTTAAAGATGAGAAAACTGAGGCAATAACTAAGAGCATTATCCAAGTCATATGACTAGTGGAAATCTGAACATGTCTAAGTACAGAGTTTCAGGTATACAGTGCTGCTACCTGCTGGCAGTGTGGAATCCAGTCCAGATCCATTGTGGTACTAGGACTGATAGATCCACAGGAATGCGTTAATGTGTCCTCTAGACATCTTAGATTGCTKGCCAGTTATCTTCCTGCCTTCTCTGCTTACTAAGTCATCATGGCAAACAATTTGCATAAATGTTTTAGTAGCACACCTGTGAAAACCTGTAAAACTGAATATTTTTAAAACATTGAAACAGGATGTGGGGCAGAGGAAGGACTAGATCTCCATTTTCCATCGCTCCTCGCTTCCTCCTTGTTCCACCTTTCCAACTCTATTCAAGGACAGCCTTATTTGCATGCAGAAAAGGCTCAGTTCCTACCCTTAAGGAGTTTATATTCTTTGGTTTTGTTGTTTGGTTGATTTTAGTTTTTGTTTTTTGTTTGTTTGTTTGTTTTGTTTTGTATTGTTTTGGTAAAGCTGAATTTTTTAAAAACTTTTTAAAAGTAGTATTTCAAAAATACACCAACACACAGCTTCAGCTTCAACAGTTATGAATATAGTCAGTATTACTTAGTCAAGAATATACTTTTAAAATCCCAGCAACTCAGGTACAGGCATATTTCCATGTATCCATTTCTGTATCCATGCTTCCTGTGGGGACTAGATTGTAAGTTTATTGATAGTGGCATCTCTTTTGTTTATTAGCAGGTAATGTTCAATTAAAAAGGAAGGAGGGAAGGAAGGAGGGAGGGAGGGAGGGTGGGAGGGAGGAAGGACAAGAACTTGTGCTCTAAATCTTGTTTGATAAAAACTGCATCAGTTTATCCAGAAGGTTTAACTTCTTAAAATAGAATCAAACACACCTTGTTCTCAAAGGCTGATTGAAATTTAATTTGTATTAATTTCTAAAAGGAAAAGATGCAATGCCAATTTTCAAAATAGTCATATGTTCAATTAWGATGCTCTCAGGTAGAAAATACAACTGGTTGCCCTTTGCCGGAAGCAGAGTGTGTACTGACTTTGACCTATACTTGCCCTGCTTTCAACAAAGCACACTACTCCTTACAGGAATGCTCAGGCCATGTCTGAACTTATATTTAGAAAATCATCAGACAGAAAGCTTCAAAGGGCAGTGACACTTGTGGTATTGCCTTCTACCATATTCTCTGGAGGGAAATGAATTTGGGGAGCAAAGGGGATACAAATTATTGAGCAACTGGCATAGCAATAATGTTTTATCTCTTCTACTGTTTCCTCCATCCTGTTCATAGTCAGTGTGAAGTTTTCCGAAAGACCCATATGCTTCTCATTTGGTTTGGATTTGGAGGCTCAGAATTTTGCATCACTGATAAAAGACAGTCCCTTTGACCTATTTCTCTAGCCCTTTTGATGTTGACTTTGCAGATGCTGATAAACACAGAGTAAAATATTTTTATTGCTTCATTCCTGTGCCAGAGTGGAATCAAACTTTGTTGACACAGTCACTTAGACAGGTGGAGGAGTAATGGGGGAAGACTTTTTGGAATCATTTATTTTGAAACTCTTCTAGAGCTCCTGCTGGGTTCCAAAAGGATCATAAACAAGCTGATGTGACACATCTTCTCCACAAAGACCATGGTTAACCCCAATTCCTCTTTTGTTCCATTCCTTGTTGACTGAAAACAAATTAAATCAAAACTTCAAGTTTTCATATTGCAGAATCATTCTTTTTCTTCATCCCATTTCTTCTCATTTTCTTCTAAATTATTTCATTTTTGTCTTTGTCTCCTGGTTAATGTTATGTCCTCCTTTTGTATTCTTTTTCATTATATATATTTTTAATCTTTCCATGTAACCATATTCAGCACTTATTTATGATTAGGTTAGGCATTCTCGAGTCTCTGCAGAAGTAACTTTTTTTTTTTTTAAGTACATGCTGCTTTCTTTCATGTGCACACTGCTTGCGAGGCCCAAAGAACATGCTGAAATTTCTTCAGTTATGAGACTTTTATGCCAAAGAAAGAAGTTTGTTGGTGCACTTTATCTTGTTAATCCCATTTCTACTATCTATATTTCAATAGGAATAAAATAAGAATAAGCTGTTTGCATATTAAAATAACTTATTATAATTGTATCACATTAAAGAAAAATATGCTATGGTAAAAAATATTATAGTATCATCAAAATAATAAAAATAAAAACCATAAAGAAAAAGACTTCTTTTTTTGCTTAATGTTACTTGATGTTTAGTTTAATATAAAGTTATGGTTGAGATTATGGKTAGTTTTCCATGAAAATATTTATATATTATCTCAAACTTACTGTATTTATGTAGAGCACACTTGTAAGAAAAATATCCAATTTAATTAAAGTTCTTATTTTTATTTAAGGGACCAGGATTTATAGCTGCATTGTGGGGTGTTTTCATTTTTAAGGAAATACAGGTATGTATAAGAGCATGTCTGGATTATGGCCAGGTAAGAAGGGTATTTAATATTATGTTTGTGCTATTCCCTGAAAACTATATGTGACTTCGAGGCCTAAGGTAGACAATACATGGATGGATTGACAGGCCAATGTTTAAAATGTTCTAATATCTAAATAGGAAAGAAAATACTAGGTGTGTAATAATTATTATGATTTATCAGGTCTCTTTCCACTTTAGTTGGCTTTAATTTCCCTGAAGGGGATTACAGTTAAATAACCTAATAAAACATAATAGAGAGAAATTTGTTTAGTGTAAAATAATATAGATAAATAACATGAAAGTTTTCTTACATCAAAGGTTAAAATGTCTCTTGGGGGCTGGGTTTATGGCTCAGTGGTAAAGCACTTGCCTGGCATGTGTGGGGCACTGGGTTCRATTCTCAACACCACATATAAATAAGTAAAGGTCCATCAACAACTAATAAAATATTTAAATTAAAGAAAATTCTAAAAAAAAAGTCTCTTGAGGAAAATGGAATTTGTTCTTGCGTCTTTATGTTGGTCCATAAGCTGTTCAAACCAGCAACTTTTTAGGAAAGCAGTTTGGCAACAGATGGCTACTATTCCCATTTCAAATGTGATAGTGGAAACTATAAATTACATTCATCAAATAGTTCTGGTAAATCTGTGTGTGTGCTTCATTACAAAATAATGTAGAACTTTTCTCATTTACCTTTATTAGTGGAAAGAATCTTCAGTTGAGGACTATATGATAATAAAATTGTATAATGTTTTTTAACTAAAGATAATATAAATCCAAAGAATTTCTGCCAAGGCATCATAAACAATATTTTCTGTTTAATATATAGTATCCTGCTACTAAGATTTGATGTTGCTATTTTCTGGGAATCATAAAGTAAAAATATTCTTAGCTGATCTTTAAAATGATTATTCAGTTTTATATTTAAAGCACTTTGATCATTCTAAATGAAATTTTTTTTCATTTTAAAGGTCACATTGTGTATGGCTTATTATGTAAATAATTCTTTGCATTCTAGCCAATGTTTGTTATTTTTTTATTGGTTTTGTTTTGTTCTGTTTAATAATAGTCATTCTAACTGGGGTGGGATGGGATCTCAATTCAACTTTGACTCACATTTCCCTGATGGCTAAAGTTATTGAGCATTTTTTCATATATTTATTGGCTATTTGCATTTCTTCTTTTAAAAAGTGTCCAGATCATTTATCCATTTTTATTAGATTACTTGTTTTTAAGTTTTTTGAGTTCTTTATATATACTGAATATTAATTCTCTGTCAGATTAACAGCTTTCAAATATTTTCTCCCATTGTATAGGTTCTTTCTTCTCTCTGTCGATTGTTTCCTATATTTTTAATTTAATGTAATTCCATTTGTCAGTTCTTGTTTTGTTTCCCGTGCTTTTAGCATCTTATCCAAGAATTCATTGCCTATAACAATACTAAAAGCATCTTCAAAAATATGCCTCAGACTAAATAGAGAAGTAACTTTTAAGACCATTGTACCATGACCAATTAGTGTTCACTTTAGGAATGCAAGGAGAGCTCATGATATGCAAATCAATTAATATTATTTACTAYAATACCAGATAAGCAGAGAAAAGATGGGATGATATGAACTACATTACCCTCCTAATAACCTAGAGAGAGATAGAAACTTTAGTTAGTATAGGATGTCTAGCAAAGACCCACAACATGGCTAAAGGTGTAGCTCAGTGGTATAGCACTTGCCTGCATCATCCACAAGGCCTGGGGTTTGATCCCCAGCACCACAAACAACAGAAAATATATGTCTAAGGTGAAAAAAAGAGTTCTTTATAAGTTGAAAGTCAAAGATTTCTCTACTACCAGGATTATTCAGCATTTTCTAGACAGTTTGTTAAGACAAGGATCGGAAATAAAAGAATAAATACAGGAAAGGAAAGGAAAATTTTATCACTAGCAGATTATATAAATTTTTTAAAAAATTAAAAGAATGAGCTGAAATCTAAAGATTCAACAAGATCACTTAATAAGGTTTATGATAGAAAAAACTCAATAGTTTTCTAATACACTACCCCTTACCAATTAAAAAGAAGAAAATTAATGTCATTATTAACTTAAAAAAAAACCACAAAAATCTAAGAAAAACAACAGGAAATGTGGTAGATACATAAAGGATTTTACTTTACTACAGAAATTTACTATAGGTCATAGATAATCAGAGCAAATGGGAGACTTGACATATTCCTGATAGGACAATTCATGGTTATAATTAGGCAGTTCTCTTTAATTCCATTCAGTGTGATTCCTATAAAGTCCCAGTGGAGCCCTGTCTTCAATTTCCAGAGTAGATTTTAAAGTTTTGTCTATTAAGTAAATAAAAATAGGCAAAAAATAAATATTAGAAAAATGACAGAGCACATTCCATATTTTAAAACATATGCAATTTAGATTAGCTAGGACAATTTTCTTATAAAAATGAAGATTTTTAAATATAGAAATGACTCTCTGCTCTTTTCTATTTATAGAAAAATGACTACAATAAAAATTACAGATATTAAATAGAAAAATGACTACAATAAAAATTACAGATATTAAAAGGGAGAGAGAACCAAGCTGAAAGCAAAGAGGAGATTATTGACATTTCTTGGGTTTTAAAAAAAAAACTTATAAGTCTCCCTAAAAACAGCATTTTTTTAAGGGCTGTCTAGTGGTATTTGTCATKAGGTGCAGATGTCTAATTACTTCTCGACAGATATTTAAATTTTTAAATACTTTACATGCAATTTACAAAAAATAAACACACTACACACTAGACCCAAAATCCTCCCAAGTATTTTTTTAAAGTATTTTTTTGTTAGAAACAAGATGAAACTATTTAAACTGTAAAAGAAACCAAAAGCAAAACCTTTATCTTTATGGCTTTTAGATCTTGCCAGATGTGTATCTTGAAGTAGTCCTTAGGAAATATTTAAAATTCCACAACCTACACCTGCCAGGACTTTAGGTTGCGGTCAGAGCACCTTTTATGTGAAAGAGTTTTAATGATTTGGTTTAGTTTAAAGCCATCAGTTGGACATTTCTGCACTTCTGATGCTCTTTTGTACTTGATTTCCATTACTCTTGGGGAGAAGTAACAGACAATTACATTGCTAAGAAAGTTATAGATCACATTTTTACCAAAACACTCCAGTCAGTATGTCTACAGTAATACCAATGCAAAGAATTATTCCCACAATTTATACATTAGTAGCTACTCTCAGATGAAGAATGAGATGATCTATTATTTAGCAACTCTTTCAGAAATCAAAGTTAAAAGCTTTCAGCTTGGTTCTTAGAGTGTACTTTCCAGGAGTTAATATTCGCTTCAATAAAGGAAAACTTGGTGCTGCCCAAATATAGTTGGTCTTTTTCTGTAGGAGACTAGACAGTTTGGGCTGATTCTGATTCTTAATCTTGAAGGGGATTTTTTTTTTCCTCTGGGAACATTATTCTTCTAGCTCTGTAGATAATAAAACAGAACTTAGCAAAGTGTTCACACAATTAAATTGTAGAGTGCTTATAACTGAAGCCCCATTTTTTAAGTTAAATAATCACATCAATTTCTAATTCACAAACCACATTTACAAACCATATGAATGTATTCATTCTTTGAACAAATCTTTAATTGAGTGTCTATTCTGCTCCAGCATTATAATCTAGGAGAAGGTTAAAGTTCTGAAAGCTAAGAAAAAGATATTGGGAAATATCTTGCCTTAGTGCAAGATTTGTGTGTATGGTTGTTTGATTTGGTTTGGTTTGGTTTTTGGTACTAGGGCTTGAACCTAAAGGCAATTTACCACTGAGATACATACCCAACCCTTTCAGTTTTGTATTTTGAGACGGGGTTGCACTAAATTGTTGAGACTGTACTCAAATGTGCAGTCCTCCTGCTTCAGCCTCCTGAGTAGCTAGGATTACAGGTGTGAGCCACTGGCCAGTGTGGATGTGTATTTGTTAGCAGCTCTGTACTTAGCAAGGTTTTGTTTCTCTTGTATAAGTTGTAATTAAACTGACTTCAAGAAGTGAAGATGTTCACAGAGAATCAGATGATTCAACCAGCTTAGCAAGATCTATCTCTGACCATGAAACAGAGGGAATTTTAAAAAATTCTTTCTGACACAATTCTTTATTAAGTTGAAAAAAGAGGTACATACAATTTTGGTTGTTTCGGGTTATATATTACTTGACATTAGGTTTTTTAAGAGCTAGTAATATGAAAGAAGAGCTTTCTTGGCAGTCCACATCTGACCCATCCTGGATATCATTTCTGCTTTGTCTAATGCCTGTACACACATTTACCTCTGATCTCTGCATTTTAAGACCTCTAAGGATCAGTGAAGTAGGTAGAGTGAGACTAAACAAAAGCCACCCTTTGCCATGACAGTTCCCCTGGGCATCTAGGAAACAAAGTGATGCATACATTGCCAGCCTGGCCTATTCCACCCTGACCCTATTTCCTGGAGGAGCCCAATTAGCCCTTTCTGGGTATCACTCAAAGCAGATCTGACAGAAGGGCAGTCAAGACAGAAAATCTCTGCACCCCTTGCGATCTTTGCAAGGGCAAGCAATCTCCCTAGGCCTTTGTGTGGTGCATGCCTGGCTGTCCACAGGAACCCAAATGGTGCATGCTCCTCACTGATTATTGGATAGCACTGGTGGAGATGCTTAGGAGTCCAGCTTAGCCCTGAGGATCAACCCCTGACAGGCCCCAGGATACTGCTTTTGTGAACCCACTCCCTGTACAAGTCAGTCGACAGAGCACCCCATTCCCACAGCCTTCCCTGAAGTTTTGCCCCAAATTTGTGTAGCTTGACACTGTTAGCCTGGCAGACCCCAGTAGCCAGGGTTATCACAAGAGGGAGGCCATCAGCCCCGTTTTCTGCAACTCTAACCAGTATGCACATGACTGCTTAGAGTTGACTCTTCTCGCTTTTCTGTCTTCCTCTCRGAACCCCTGTGTGTCCTCCATGTGACATAATTAAATAATTGTTATTTTTTCCTTTAAAGAGGAGCTAACAATAGAATTATGTGATTTCATTATTAGAAGATTTGAAAATGATCTAAGAACATATATCTAAAATTAGAGGTCATTAGCCCTGTCTTATTTTGGATGATCTTGGCCTTAGAGTACTGGGGTTCATCTCTGTAGAATGATATATATACCAACTAGCAATCATTCAGAGGGGAATGGCCAGGACAGTGAGGGAATTTGAAGTCATTCCTTGTGAAAAATGCTCAAAGGAGCTAAACTATTGACTAGGAAAAGAGATGCCTCCGGGGATATAAAATAGTTATTTTTCACTATTTGAGGGTTTATCTTGTGAGAGAGATATTAAAATCAATCRTTCTGTACCCCTAGAGATAGATCTTGTAGGAAATAAAATGCTTTGGCTTAACACAGGAAGATATTTCTTTATGAGTCCAAAAATGGACTGAGCTACTCTGGGATGTGGTGCTCCGAGTTTCCCATCTTTAACACCAGTGCCCCATGCATGGCTAGGAAAGTTCGTCTTCATCATAGTTCACACCTGTCTGCATTTCTTCTTCATGCTTTAGTTTGGTGTCCATCTCTCCATCTACTCTTCATCATCTTTCCCTGGAGGACTGCAGGAGCCTCCTTACTGGTCCCCTTGCATCTATTCTGGTCCTCTCTGATCTGTTCCCCATACTTCAAAAAATGTAAGCTTTACAAAATGCAAGCCTGATCTTTTCATCACCCACATTCATTCAGTGTCTTCCCATTGCATAATAAGCCCAAAGCATAAGAAGTTCAGAATGCTCAAGCAGACCCATAGCCCTCCACCTTATCAGCTCCACTTACCTCTTGTTGCTTCAGTAGACTGTTCTTTGAGTCCCTGGGAAGTATCATGCTTTCTCTTACAACAGCACATAAAATTCCTTCTACTTGGAGTCTTGACTGCAGCCCTATTTTCCTGGGCAATCCATTGATACTCATAATTAGAAGTCTAACTTCCCACCTTCCAAACCAGCTTTAAAARAGTCTTATAACACACTCTCAGACAACCACAATGGTTTCCTTTATGAACACCCCTTTCATGTTATAGCATTCCTCTGGGTAATTACTTGATTAATCCCTGTCACTTGTAGTATGTGATTAACTGGGTTAGGGCATGCATAGTTGCTGCTCACTGTGGGTGAATTAGTGAGACTTCTGCAAATTTTCAAAAGAATTTGAATTATTACTAGGAGAGAGTAGGGGAAAAAAAATACCAGGTGTGTAGAGCAGACAGTAAGATACTAAGCAATCTTGAAAGAATCTGGCTTTTCTGTGCATTTGATTCCAGTCTCTTCATTGCTGTTCTTCTATTTTATTTTTCAGGGTCTACGAAACTACCTATTAATGATACTTGCATTTTGCATCATCTTGAGTGGAACTTTATGCACAGCTTTTTCTAAAATCTAAACATCACAAGACCAGCAGATGGCAGCAGTGGTTAGGAGAACTCCCTTACTGGACCAGAGAAGGATTATGCTGAGAAGAGTTTCACTTTCATACAACAAATGGATCTCAACCACTTCTGATTTTTTCCCTCATAAATGTGAAAATGGAGGAAAATTATGTTTCAGTCTACTATAAAAATGAAAAATTCTTCTGATGAACTGTTAATGAGGGTAGGACTTTACAAGGTGCCTGAAATTTGTACATTCATGTAGCATTACATCTAACAGTGCTGATTTTTGTTTGTTTCGTTTCTTTTAACACAAAGTATACCTGGTGTTGCATAATCTAGAAAACAGCATGGAGTTCATATACAAAGAAGTTACCATCCAAATTTCTAACTTACTAATGAAGAGAAACAGAAATAAAGGCCTGTGGGGGAGGGGGAAGGAGAAGACTCACCATATGGAATTAAATTGCAAAGATACTTGGATATTTTGCTAGCAAAAGTAAATGTCACAGTTGATGATTACAGGTTTAAAAGACCATAGAATTATTTTTAACAGAAAAAATAATTCAAAACTTATTTTTACTTCCAATTAATATTGTTCAACTCTACATCATCRGCCCTTCTTAGCTTAAAATACCTTGATTATCTCCAAATACATCCATCATCAGAGAACAAAAGTTTTCCACCATTGAGGATATGTACAAAATGTAACACATGCATACATAAGTACACACAGATGCATTTTTAACTGTACACCTATTCATATTTGCACAGTTATGAATTTGGGGAAAATTCTATTTATTTACTTGATAAAGTAAGGTTCTAGCTTATGGGGCAATTTAAAGGGACCAACGCTCATTTACATTTTTTTTTCTAAAATATACTTATCTGAAATCATTTTAAATGGAGGCTTTCTGTTTTATTCCTATTTAAACTAGTGGTTTCCAATAGACCACTGGAAAGAAAATGATATGGCAATAGTTTTATTTATTTAGGAAAATGGAAATAGAATTACTAATACAATGTCCATTGACATGGTTTTCAAACCCTTAATACAATGGAACTACTGTTCAAATGTAAATTTCACCTGCTCCCACCTGATAACACATAATTTGTGTGTGTGTGTGTGTGTGTGTGTGTGTGTGTGTGTGTGCTAGAGAAACAGAACAACATTCTGTATGAGTGCATAAACTCGAAAGACAACCTGCACCAGTTTAAATTCCACCTCTGCTTCATTTTAATCATTTGATTTTGGACGAGTTCCCAAGCTCATTGTTATCAAATTCCTTATTTGCAAAGTGGGGTTAATGGTAGTACCTGTCTCACATGACTAGTATACAGTTACAATCTGTAATGTTTGTGAGTGCCTGGTATTTGGCAAGCACTGTATAATTGTTCGCTATTAAATGTTATTTGAAGGGAAAATGTCTACAAATTGGAAAATACCTTTTCAGAGCTACTATTCTTATTAACTTCCATCCAATTACCTTTTGTTCCTCCATATGAAAAAGGACACTGGAGTCCCTATATAATTATTGAACTGCTAATACAAATAAATATTTGATTATTAAATCCTTAAGCCCATTTTAATTTTAACCTGTCATTAAATTATGCTGATAACTTTTGAATAAATTAACATGATAAAAAATTTTATTATTTAAATATATTTTAAAACATTATACTGGACAGTTTTAATTATTTTGTAGTTGAGATTGTGAACTTGTATGCAAAATTTTAAGCATGAAATAATTGCAGAAGAAAAATGGGTGGAAAAGAAGACAATTTATTATACACTGCTGTTCTGTCTGCTGCCAGACAATAACTTTAGTGTTAATAAGAATTGTATACAAAAAAAAAAAACAAGTCTTTTCAAAATGATAGCCAAACGGCTTACTGTTTAGAAGTTAGTCTAAATGGACAATTGCAAAATCCTCTCTGTTTGTTCACCTAGGGAAGTGAATGCCTAACTCTCTTGCGGTTTTGAGGATTTATTTTGCATTGACCAGTATAGCCAGATTCTTGTGTTGAACTTTTTATAGCTTGGTCTTCTTACTTTATCTCAAATGGTAACCTTTTTAATAGAGCCCCTCCCATGTTGTGTATACAGACGGTACTACACTAAGTAGAAGAAGCAGCCCCCGAGCAACCCAACCATCTTTTATTCCTTTTGTACTGATATAACCTAGAGTTACTGACTACTAAGCCTGTCCTTGTCAATACTGAAAAACATGTAGAGTGAAGAATCCCATACTATAGATCTGTGGGTARACCATGATGTCATTTAGGTAAATTATCAATAAGCAAAATAATATATACTTTCTATAAATACTTATGCTAAAAATAGAATATACATATATTACTCTTATTGTGCCTAATTAATAAATTAAAATTTGTCACGGGTAGATACGTACAGGAAAAAACATACTGTATGTARCATTGGGTATTGTCCATGGTTTCTGGCATCTGCTGGAAATCTTAGAACATGTTCCTTGTTGATAAGAGGAGAATATTGTATTTTAAAATTAGACAATATTCTATATTACATTCCTAGAGGAAAAAAAAGAAAGTAAAAGGATGGATAATTCATTGAATTTTATAATTTTTAAGGAGGTCAGGAAATGCTTTAAACTAATCTGTTTAAGTGGATTTCATTTGGCAAAAAATAATAATAATAACTACAGCCAGGTACGGTGGCACACACCTGTAATCYCAGCGGCTGGGGAGGCTGAGGCAGGAGGATCATGAGTTCAAAGTCAGCCTCAGCAAAAGTAAGGCACTAAGCAACTCAGTGAGACTCTGTGGTCTAAATAAAATACGAAATAAGACTGGGGATATGGCTCAGTGGTCAAGTGCCCCTAAATTCAATCCCCAGTACCAAATAAATAATAATAATAACTAAACTTTCTCCTTTTTTTTTTTTTTGGTTCAGAGCACTTAACTTGCCAATGCTAAATCACATCCAAAAGGTTAGTGGCTAGATCTGTTTTCATAGCCTTAAGATAAATTATTTGTTACTCCAGCTATAAGATTTCTAACACAGTTCATATTGACGAGATTTCATGAAAGCAAACATAAATCCCAATTTCTAAATGGAGATTTTCCCATAAGACCTAAAGAAATGAATCACTAGAAGGGAAGGTGAGACTCCTTCCCAGGTGGAGAAGATGGGCCAGACACTCTGACTGATTGCAGCATCCACAAGGGAGTCCAAGACCCTCATAGGTTCTCCTGAGACTCAGATCAGGTTTTTGTGTTTTCCTCTTACCGGCAAGGTACTTGTAAACACATTATCATTTGGCATAATTTATATAACTAAAGATTTTATAAACTTCCCTTTCACTTATAAAATTTTGATTGTATTAAATTCAATTTTTTTCCAACAAAGTCTCTATCATCTTCCTGTTCTCCAAAAATATATGAGCATCATATCGATTCCATATGTATAGGAGAGCTAAAATTACTTGGGAACTCCTTGAGAGAAGTTGTTTTAGTCATCTTTATATATMAAGAACCTAGCACAATGCATGACACAAGTGGAAAAAAATGGATTTTTTTTTGTTATTTCTTTGTTTTTCCATCGAAGAACATCTTATCATTATCTGTTATAGTTTGTTTGTGATTTAATTGTGTCCTGTCCAAAGTTTTGTGTATTGGAAAATTGGTCCCCAAGGTGGAGCTGATGATGGGTAACTGAACATTTAAGAAGTGGAGCCTAACGGAAGCTCTTTAGATCATGGAGGATGCAGGGTACTTCTGGTGGGATCCCTCAGTAGTTCTCACRAGAGGACTATTATAAAAGTATGGGTCTGCCCCTGCCTCCTTCTCTGCTTTGCAGCTCAAGATCTGACTACCTGCTCAAATACACATTCCYACCATAGCCTTCTGCCACCTGCTATCAGGTGACACAGCCAAAAGGCATCCCTCATCCCAGAGCCTGTGCTATGCTGTTTAGTCTAGTTCTAATAGTTTTTAAAAATATAGTTCTAGTAGGCAATTATGAGGCACTTCATATTTTCCAATCCTGGTGTCTTTCACTTCTTTTTCTTGCTTTATTCCCCTATCAATGCCCTTCACTGCTATTTAAATAAAAACGACAATGGGGACCCCATTCAGATGAAGGATATTGTCTTCTGTTTGTCGTTTACTGAGTTTTTATCATGAATGGGTGTTACATGTTGTGAAGTTTTCATCATTCACTGAGATACTATGTTAGTCGGCTTCCCATTACTCTATACAAATACCAGATAGAATTCACTTATAAAGAGAAAAAGGTACTTTGGCTCACAGTTTAGAGGTTCCAGTTCATGATTAGGTCAACAAATTGCTTTTAGACCTCTATTTGTGGGTACAAGATGGCAATTGCAGGGAGATTGTGGCAGAGCTAAACTGTCATCTCATGAGGGTGAAGCAAAAGTGAGGATGGGGCCAGGGTCTCACCATCCTCTTCAAGGACACGTCCCCCCATAGACACCACTGTGCCTTAGCCTGCTGTGTGCCCTGGAACTCAGATGCCTTCTATAGTATAATTTTGTTTTTTGATTTGGGGGGTTTTGTTTTGKTTTGGTTTGGTTTTTTACTTTTGCTATAATAAGTCAGAACTCTTCTAAGCTCTTGGACTTTGTGGGGACTGTTTCCATCTGTTCCTTTCCTGGGGAGTTGTTTGTCCAGTCTCTAGCATTTTCCTCCCATACATGGCTGGTCATTAGTCAACTAAAATTTTGAGAAGCCCACTGCAAAGCCCTGGAGCTCTGTCTCTGTTCCCTTCTTTCTCTCCTTCCCTCTCCCCACCCTCACTCTAATACTGTAAGGGGACAGATAGATGAGGAAGGTGGGAACACAAGGTTAAGAGAATAATTCTATAAAATAGKCCCACTGTGCTGGGCACCATGGCACATGCCTGTAATCCCAGCTACTCAGGAGGCTGAGGCAGGAGGATCATGAGTTCAAAGCCAGCTCAGTAATAGTGAGGCGCTCAGMAACTCAGTGAGACCCTGTCTCTAAATAAAATAAAAAATAGGGCTGGAGATGTG